TGTCTATTATTTATGTGTTTGTTTCAGTAAAACACAATAAAATATCAGTTTTTCCTCTTTGTTGTCATTTCATATGGATCTTCTTTTCTTAATGTTTTTATTTATTTATTTATTTTTTTTGAGAGAGAGAGAGAGAGAGAGAGAGAGAGAACGTTTTGAAAATAATGTCTACACATATATTTGAAGTGTAAGGAAAATGTTATTACTTTTTACATGATGGTTACACGACTGTAAAATATTAAAATAGTATTTTTCAAAACCATATGAAACCAGAGCCTTTTAGGTCTAAACTGTGTGGATTCTGACAGTAGGTGACAAAGGAATGTCTAGCGTGATGTGAAAAGTATGTTATTGATCATCCACACCCATTTTGGGCCCTTCAAAATATTCTGTTACAGTATGAGGTTTGTAACTTGAGATCATGTGGGGAACACAAATAGCCTCTTGCACATTCTCCAAAAAGTCTGTAACCAATCTTACCTCTATTATCATAGTCTCACAAGTGCACACAAAGAGATGGGGGGTAAAAAAAAAAAGCAGATAAGATTGACATATGTAAACGTATACCTAGAGAGGTGTCATTTGGGAATGTTGCTCTGGTATGCCCATTCACACCGCTGTTAGGGCATGACTGAAAGAGCACGAACAGTGACGTTGAGACTGGAATGAGAGGGATCTCAAAGCTCTTACTCCGTAAACACTTGCCAGTTGAGGTGTTAACATGGATGCAGTAAATTTAGCACCAAATGTTAAATGACCTCTGACTTTTTTTGTTCATTAAAGCTAGCATATCTTCAGAGCTGTGTTTGAATTCTGGTGATATATATAAAGACTTAAAGAGAAGTATTTTATTTGGTACTGCAAAATGTATTTCCTGACAAAGCCACCAGACAGGTTTCTATATGTAGCCAACATCTTTAAAGACAAATTCCACTGCCAAAAACAAAGCTATATGGATTTATGAACTTGAAGACAGGACATCTGAAGGTCGTTGCTGTTTTTTTTCCACATGAAAACCCTGTCCCTGGGATATATGAGCTAGGCCGGACCTATAGGTCAGGTTTAGTAGGCATGAAAACATGCCTTGGGCTAATAGTTATAGGTCACGGCATCGCAGGATGTGAAAAGGACGGCCTATAGTCTGTGTGTTCCACTGAGCATGACAACATGACAAAAATAACCTTTTAGAAATGTCTCTACTCATGCACTTCTTAGGAATTAATTTCTTTTTTTTTTCACACCTCTCTTTACTGACTACAGTAAACTAAAACCTACACTGTGAAAATTTTTTTTTGTCATTTTAACAGAAAGAATCTGGTAGCTGAGGTTGCCAGAATAATTCTGTAAAATACAGTAAAACTGTAAACATATTTACAGGTCAACCCATACATGTTAAAGTTTAAAAGTGTAACACATTTAAAAAAAAACAAAAGAAAGGTACAAAATCTTTTTTGTACCTTTGATATGTAACAATAATCACCATAATATCACAGGTGATATAGAGACAGCCAAAGGAAGAATCAAAGTTGATCACAATTGTCCTTTCCACGCAGTTGCTGCAGATTTGTCGGCTGCACATCCATGATGCAAATCTCTGTTTTTTACACCGAGATAAGAGATAAGTGTAATTTAAATGCACTGTAAGTTGCATTTGTTAGTGTTATTTATCACAAATATCAGCTTGGGGCAAGGTTGGGGTATCACATGTTTTTATACAGTACAA